CTTCATCTATAATTAAATATTTAGAACCATCAATAGGAGATTTATTTTACAGTTAGATTTGCTAATTATCATTTTGATTAATTAGTTTGCCCAACATTAGGGGAGAAAATAAGCAATTAGAAAAAGAAATTAGTTGGGATGAATTATCATTATCTCATCTTGATCCCCATATAAAGCAATGTGAACTAGAAATTCAAAAGATAATTTATTTACAAAATTTAGCAAATTAATTAACAAATGCATTTATTGATCAAAAGAAAATAACTAAATCATTGCTAATGCTCTAGTTAGAATTGATGTCCCTGTTGGATAGCCATTATTGCAAATGATTCTAAAGAAAGCATAAAACGTGAAAGGCTTATTGGTTTTAAAGATAAAAGTCCTTGAAAAAAAAGGAGTTAGAAACACAAATGGTTAAATTAAAGAAATCAAAAAAAGTTAGTAACTCACGAAGAGTCATTAACACTACTAATATTTCAATTTTAGAAGAAATTTAGGTAGCTGCAATGTGTGAAAATAATGAGATTTTAATAAATTATGTTATAAAGGAATACAATAGAATCAAAATGATATCAACATCAATGATATTTTTGCATATAATGTAACACTTGATGTAATAAATGATAATGAAAATCGTGAACCAAAGTACACTAATGAATCAAACAAAGAGAGGATTGGTCAAAATAGAAAGACGCAATTGAGGCAAAATTAAAATCACTTGAAAAGTGAAATGTTTTTAGATTTGTAATCTATACACCTGAAGGTATTAAGTCGGTTAGATATAAATGGGTTTTTTGTAACATCCCAATTTAAATTTTAATAGTTAATTTGAGTTAATAGAAATTTTAAAAAAATATATTTAGAGGTAAATAAATTAGTAGAAAATGATCATTAAATCTAACTTAGGATATAATTCTAAATTAAAATTTTTTTTTGAAAAAATTATTATTAATTAATTAAAAAAATATATTATTAAATTATTATTATAAAAAAAGGTATGCAAAAAAAAAAGAGAGAGAAGAAGAAAAAGAGAAGTTTGCTTCGTCCGCCGCCTCAATAGTAAAATAAAATAATAATAATAAAAAAAAAGAAGAAAGAGAGAGGAAATAATTAAAAAAAATGTGGGACCCACTGAATTTTTATAAAACTCACCCATTTCCTTTTATTTCTGCAATTTGTTTTCCTGCGCGCGAGCTGAGGCGGAGAGAAGCGAGTCGTCGGTGCAAAATATCTAATTTTTAAGGTAAGAGTTTTTAATAGGATATTTAAGGTGTGATTTTAAGCTTTCCAAGACTAAGTAAGTGTTCTAAAATTTTTTCTTAGTCATCCTTCTTCTTTGGTTTCTGATTTTATAGTGGTAGAAAATTTAAGATCTGGAAGAGGGATGAATTTATGTTGAATAAATATGGTTTTTGAGGTTGTTAGTAGTATAATAAATATTTTAGAGTATAAATTTATTGGTGATCTTTGAATTTGTGGCTTATGGATCAAATTCTAGACTAGATCTGAAAATACATGTTGATTTATTGAGGTTTAGATGATTATTTGGGATGAGAAATGAATTATTATGGCTATAGGATTATGATTCTAAGCTAGAGACTTAATTTTTAATTTTTGGGTATTTTAGGTACGAATTTATGAAATAAAAAGAAAATTTTGATAATAAAAATTAGTTTAGAAGTTGATTTTTAGATTATTAATGTTTATTGATAATTAAAAGAGGAGTTAAAAATTTTACTTAATAGTATTAACTATAGATTTGTATTAAGATTGAAATTAGAAATTATATTATATTTTTAATTCTATTATTAGAATTATTTTATTAGTTTCAAAAATTGAAACTAATATTTATAATAATATGTTATTTTGTAGATTGTATTACTGGTGAAGATTGTGGTGAGAGAGAAATTTTAAGGAATAATTTATTGAAAAAGCCACAAAGTAACCATGCTTTTAATTTGTGATTAATGTTACTTCATGTTAATTGGGTGATTATTGAGAAAATTATGAATTTGTTTGATTATTGTGGGAGGTGTTGGGAGACTTGCTATTGTTGTTGTATTTATGTGCCACGTGGTACGCCCCTATTGGAGCTCAATAGGTGGCTTGTAAGGGCTCGGGCTAATTTACCTTTGGCCGGGTAATTTAGCACCGAGTGAAAGCTACGGCTCGAGGTTAATGGAGGGATATAAGGATGGTTGTTTGTGTGTATTGTAATATTTCTTATATTTATTGGAATTATATTATTTTTAATTCTCACTTAGTAAGCACACACTTAACTGTTTGTATACACTATCATAAATTGGCTTTGGTTACTAGGACTTTTGAGTCTCATTATGTGGTTAACAATTTTCAGGAGAAGAGCCACGAGTGACACGTGGAGGAGTCCCAGAGGCTTAGTGGTATAGATCCACTGTCTCTTTTGGGTATTTAATTTATGATTTATAATATGTTATATTGCCAATATTAGGGCTTTTTGTTTATTGTCAATTATATGAATATATAAATGTAATCATGCCTTTTAAACTATTTCTATTTTTGGTATAATTTGGATGACTGTAATTTTAATATTTGGTTTACTTTGGATTTGTTAAAATGGCATGATTATAAGGCCAAATAACTGGCTTGTGTTGAAAATTGACTAAATTACTTATTTTACTTGTTGGGAGTATAAGGATGGACAAATGTGATTTAGTTTACTTGTTAGGAGTATAAGGATGGACAAATGTGATTTAGCCTAATGGCATGTGGGAGGTAAAAATTTATCTGAAATGTTATAGTGTGTGAGTTGAAGCCAATTATAAAATATTTTATATCAAAATTATTGATATAAAAATGTGTTGGGTGGCTGTAACCCAACTATGGTTGAGTTAAATTAATTAAAAAAAAAATTTTGGTGTGTTACATTTTTTTTGTGAAAAAGAAATGAAAATAATGAAATTGTAAGATATACGACATCGCTTGTGGCTTAAGGATTTACACAAAGACTTGAAATTGATTTTGTTAAAACATACTCACCAATAGTGGATGTAACTACTTTTTGATATTTAATTAGCCTAGCAATAAGTGCAGTACTCAATTTGCATCTAATGGATGTTATAACAACCTATTTGTATGGTTCACTTGATAGTGACATTTACATAAAACTCTCTAAATGATTCAAATTACTAGAAGCATACAATTCAAGTTCTCATAAAAATTATTCGATTAAGTTAAATAAATCCTTATATGGATTGAAACAATCAGGACATATGCAGTATAACCAACTTAGTGAATATCTGTTGAAAGAATGATATAAAAATTATCCAATTTACCTTTGTAATTTTATGAAAAGATTTGAAAAAGAGTTTGCTATAATTATTATTCATGTTAATAACATAAATATTATTGAAACACCTAAAGAGCTTTCAAAAGCTATAAATTGTTTAAAGAAAGAATTTGAAATGAAAGATTTTGGAAGAACAAAATTTTTCCTTGAATTACAAATGGAATATATGAATAATGCAATTTTTCTATATCAAAAAACTTATACAAGAAAGGTCTTAAAACAGTTTTATATGAATAAATTACATCTATTATGTGTCCCAATGATTGTAAGATCATTAAAGATAGATAAAGATTCTTTTAGACCTTAAAAAAGGTGAAGAAAAACTTCTCGATCTAGAAGTACCATATCATAGTGCAATCGAAACACTAATGTATCTTACTAGTCACATGCAACTTGACATCTCATTTGTTATTAACTTATTAAAGAGATATAATTCTTCACTAACACAAAAGAACAGGAATGGGTTAAGCGCATTTTTTTATTATCTTAAGGGTATTATGAATATGTGATTATTTTATTTCAAAATACTTAAAGTTGATGTTATTGGTTATGCAAATGTTGGATTTTTGTCTAAGCCTTATGTTGGTAGATTACAGACAAGTTATTTGTTCACATATATGAAACAAACAATATTAGCCATATCATCTAATCTTGCATAAATTCTAGCTGTATATGAAGGAAATCAAGAATGTATGTAGTGAAATCATTAATTCATCACATTCGAACTACTTGTGGTTTGTCTTTTAACAAAATGATTCTGACAATCATATACAAAGATAATATTGTTTGTATTGCCCAATTGAAAGAAGAGTACATTAAAGGAAATAGAATGAAATATATTTCACCAATTTTTTTTACTCATGATCTTCAAAATAATGATGAAATTAATATCTAGCAAATTCGTTCAAAAGAAAATTTAGCTAATATGTGCACTAAGTCACTTCCTGCTAAAATATTTGAAAAGTTTATTCATGATATTGGATTTCACAGATTTAAAAATATCAATTGATGTTGTCAAAATGAGGGTTAATACACGCTGTACTCTTTTTTTCTTGTCTAAGTTTTTTTATTAGATTTTCCTAATAAGGTTTTTAATGAGATAGTATTAAATAGCATATAAATGAATGATGTACTTTTTTTTTAATTAGGTTTTTCTTAATTAAATTTTTTAATGAGACACATTCTTATATAATGAACATTTAAGGGAAGTGTTATGAATATTAAAAGGATAGTGGATATCCATTTTTATCACCTCTTTATTTTTATTTTTTTCATGAAACTCTTACAGTTAATTACCCTTTATTTTTTTTATCATTCGTGTAACCTTTAATGTATAAGATTGTATTTATAAATATGACTTGCAATTTATATTGAAGGACACAATAATTTATAAGAAATTTTTTTCATTCTCTTGTTTTTATTTTTTCTCCCAATATCTTTTTTTTATAGCTGCTTAAATTTTTAACATTAATAAATAAATTTTAAAATTTAATTAGTACTAATTAATAATACTATAATATTAAAATTAAAATCTTGATTATTTTTTTTTTTGCCAATAAAATTTTAATTATTATTACAATTACAAAATAAAAATATTACATTAAAAATTGAGGGGACAGGGGATCCAGCAGAATTACGGGATGAATATTCATGTGCCATGAAATCCATCATTCCGCAGAAAAAAGTCAGAAATATCAAACCCTAGTTAACCCCTTAAAGCAGCTTCGACGCCATGGCCTCCAAATCCCCTGAGCATAGAGTATTGATCGGACTTCAACTGAATCAGCTATCACCTGCTTCATTCCCTTACTCTGAAGTCTGAAGACCGGGCAGCGTCCACCTCGTCCTCTTTTCGTTCTTCGTGAACGTTCTGTCAGGTGGCGGCTTATTTCTTATAGTATCTTCCCCAGCAGGCCTGGGTTGTGTACAGCTCGGCGTCCTACCTTTCGACAAGCACCGTTTGCTGACGTCGTGGGGTATGATTTTTTACGGGTTTCTTTTCCCAAAAATTTTTCCTTTCCGTACTGGGCACCCAACGATTTCAGGTCCCGGATGTCGGAAAATGCTGAGTTTTCTGAACTTGTTTTTAAACACTCCACTTGGATGCTTTTCTCGTCTGTCTTATGTATAGTTATTTATCCACTTTGAGCTTACCTGGTTTTGAGTATCTGCTGATCCTTTAATCTCAAACTGACCCTCAGCTACTTCTTCTTTGCAACTTAGAGTTTTTCATGTTCGGGGTTAAAATGCATACAGTTTTTTTCCCTGGGGGTAGCAAGAGGAAAAGAAAATGGCTTTGTACTGTATTACGCAGCAGATTGAGGTGGGGAGTGCAATATAGTTTTTTCTTATATGGAAGAAAGAAATCCAATTTTTATAGTTTCCAGACTTTTCAATTGCTTTCCACCTCATTCATATTGCAGCCTTGTTTTCTCTTTTCACTTCTCAAATGACTAGCACTATATTCTGTCACGAGTCCCACATCAGGAGACCATATTGGTGGAGTGTGTATTATAAATCACCCTTCTCTTATGAGGTACCTTTTGGGGGCGAGTTCTACCTAAAGGGTTTGGGGTCGTGACATTGGTGCTGAGAGTTGCCGTTCACGGAAAGACTGCCCATAGAGGGGCTGACTAGTTGAAGGCTAAATGAAGTGCCGTGGAGTGTGAGCTGTCGCGGATGCCGGCTTTTGAGGGGTGGGCTATGTCATGAGTCTCACATCACGAGGCCACATTGATGGAGTGTAGTTTATAAGTCAACCGGGCATCCTCTTCCTACGAGGTGCCTTTTGGAGGTGAGTTCTACTTAGAGAGCTTGTGGTCGTGACATTGAAAATTTCAAAAGACTAGCCTGTTGGATGGGAGATTTACTTACACTTAAGAGGCTCCCTGATGTGGGATTTGTGAGAATGCCACACCGTTAAGAGCTGACATCCCCGACGGCTTCACTCCACGGCATTTCACTCGGCCTTTGACTGGTCAGAACTCTTAGCCCTTTCTGTGACATTGGCCTCTCAATGAAAGCACCAATATAACGAGCACAAGTCTACAAGGAGAGCCCATCCCAAAAGACTAGCTTGTTGGTTGGGAGATCCCCTCACTCTTATAAATCCCACACCACTTGTTAGGTTCCTCAATGTGAGACTCGTGACATTCCCAACTTGTAGTCTAAATCTATGATTCGTTCCTGTTGCGATTCCTTCATTTTTCTTTCTTTTTTCCTTCTTGTTTTGCTAAAGATTTCACAGTTTGGAAGGCATAGTTGGGCAAAGAGTAGCTTCGCTTCTGCTCCACAAAACAGGAGTAGTAGCAATGGAGGGGTTGAAGGTGTCAGATGCTAATCTAGTCGTATATGTTCATCCTTCAAAAAGTAAAAAAGTTCCCCAAGCAGTTCTCAATGAGCTCAGCACTTTGCTTTTCACGTAAGTTATTGCACCTTCCTTTGATTTTATATTTTAGTACGATTTATGATTGCAATTATGGTTTTTGTTATGTTTAAAGGACATGATTTTTGATGAAGTTTTAGCTGTTATTATCTTTTTATTGGGTTAGAAAGAGATTTATGGCAATTGTGGGTGCTGGCTTTTTTAGCTCTGTTTTATCAGTTCCCTGTGAGAGAAGTCCCACAAATTGTGAGATTTATGTTATATAGGTTTTATTTTACGTATTTGAAAATTGAAAAATGACAATCATAGAATTGCCAAACTCTCTGCATGTTGAATATGTGCATGTGCACATGCGTGCATGTGTGTTGTGTGTCACATAGTGGTAGCCATAAGTTTACTTTTGAGTTTAAATTTCATTTTCAAGTATCATGAAATTTTTGTGGTTTAAGCATGCCAATGTGCTTACCTTAGTACGTTACTTGTTTTAAGATGCGATGGAGAATTATATCCCTCCCCACATACTCACTCCTGTTTATAATGCTGTTTTGGTTGTGCTGTCCTTGCAGGTTCAGTGAAATCTTTGATGGGGTTGTGTTAGCCTATGATATCAACCTCCTTGATAAATGTGCAAAAATTCTTTCTGGAGTTCATCCTTATTTTGATGTTAAACTAAATGCGAAATTGTTACTTTTTTCTCCAAAGCCGGATATGCTTTTAGGTAATTCACTTGTTGTGATTTAAGAGTCATGAATGTTAGTATTTTGTAGTTACTTGGTTATATCAGACTAATATTCTGCATGTTTTTCTGTTTTATAGATTTATCTATTGTTTTCTTATTTTTCCAGGGTTTAGTTCACATCCCCAAGTGTTTTTAGGACCTCCTGTGTATTCTTTGCTAATTTGTCAATTGATTGTTGCTTTCAGAAGGGAAGGTGGTTAAGCTCACACAAGAATCTATTCATGCCATTGTGCTCGGCTTTTCTTCTGCAATAATAGTTGACAAAGACATTAGGGAAGAGTTCTCATACAAAATTGTGAGTAACCTCAACCTGATATTCAATAGTATCTATCTACATCTTCCTCCTCCTTAAAATCATGATTGTTATTTTAGTATTTATAATTAATATTGTCTACATGCTGTGTATTTTTCTAATAGAAACGTGGACAAGGTAGATATACAAGCAGATTGCATAAGCAGCATGTGATAAAGGTTGGAACCATGATACGCTTTCAAGTCAAGAGGTGATAGTGCTGATGCTACTTAAAATAAGATTACGTGTTCAATGCATTTCTATGTTGCATCAGAATTCAATTCAATGAAGTGAGTTGACCTCACTGTAAGATCTAAAAAGCAGACTGGAATGTGCATTTCAAATAATTGTTTAGAATTATGTATTTTCAGTTGGTCTATCAAATACTTCATGAAACCTTGGTCCCTCCTTTGTTGATTAGCAACTAGGAAGAATTTGGTTTCATACATCTCCAATATATTTTCAATTTTTTCTCATGGTGGTCTCCTTGAAGATGCTTTCCATTGTGAAAAGACAGAGTATTGCCTCATTTAAGCTTATTGATTTGATATATCTGCTGCTATTGCAACTTCGTTAATATTTGCTGTTGTTAATTATATTTGTTCTCTAGCTTCTTGAATTTTAATTAGATCAGACATATGCTTATGTATGTTTTAAGCGCGTCAAAGTTTCATCTGGCAAGTTATTCATCACAATATTCACATCAATGATTTATCTCTGCAGCTTTGATGAGGAAATACTTCATGTTTTTGGATCCCTGAAGCCAGATACCACTGGCAGTATTCATTGGTTAGACAAGAACTTGGAAGATGTTTCCCAAAGTGACAGGTTCTTTACTTTTAACATATTTTTAGACTAATACTAATATTATTGGCATAGAGGATATTTTGTGCGTAACTCTAGCATAATCTGTACAGAAGTGCAAAGAAGAGAGAAAATGGGGGAGAACCACTAATCCCAGAGCAAAATGCTATGGTTGAGGAACCAATTTCCTTGGACAATGCACACGAGAAAAGGCCAAAGAAACAAAGAATTAAAGAGGAATCATGAAGTTGAAAGTAGCTTTGGAATCCTATTCTGTATGTATTTTGTTTTCCCAGGTAACTTCGCTACTTTCAAAAAGAATCTACACGCTTGAAATTCTGCAGCAGCAGGACTTCAAAAAACCATCTTGTCTAACGTGATTTTTTTGGACACATGCCAGACTGCTTTACCAAGAAATGATAATTTATTGTGTTTTAAACTTAATTTCTAGAGTTGAACTCTTTATGTATGTTTAAACACATGGGGTACCTATAAAGAAATACATAATTTTATATCCTAGTGACTTGTGTTTGATTATGTGATTGCTGTGTCTTTTCTGCAGGGCTTTCACATTATTTTGCAGCTTGACCACTGTCTAGTGCCCTAGAAGTAGCAGCTTCATGAGCCACTGATAAACATGAAAAGTGGAGAGAAAGAGTCCAAGAAATCTCAACACGGCCTTGGGTTAGTTTTGCTCTTATACGTCGACAGATTTATTGACAAGCATGAAAACTCAAATTTGTTGAGCCTTGTAATCCGTGTTCGGCATCAATTTGTACCCAAGATTATGTATCCTATTGACTGCCGACATTTTATTTATTTACATGTGTATCCCGAAATGGCTCCAACAGTTTAGGGTCTGTTTGGATTTCAATTGGGTATAATAAATTATAAAATAATTGATTAAGTGGTAGATTTTAATCATAATTGATTATGTTATAACGTAATCTGTTTGGATACTGTTTTTTTAAAATTGATTTTAACAGAATTGAAGATATTTAAATAATTTAATCAAAATTAATTTTTAAATATATAATTTAATTTTTAAATATCAAATATTAATTTTTTAAATATATAAAGTTTAAATTTTATTAAGGAAAAAAAAAAGAAAAAGAAGAGAGTTTAATTTTTTTTTATTAAATTATGTGCTTTCTTTGTAATTTTTTCCTGGGCTTATTTTTGTAATTTTTCCCAACGTTTTTGACAAACTTTTGGCAGAAAGTGGACGAAGGGAGCTTCGGGAAAAATGCGCGTTTTGGCCCAGAATTGATTTTTAATCATTTTCGACTGTTTGGATAGATTGATAAAAAAAATCGATTTTGGGTCCAAAACGCGCGTTTTTTCCTTATCCAACGGGCACTTACTTATGCTTTCTTGATTCAAATCATTCTGGATTATCACTCACAGCTAGAATAATAACAACGCATGGTGGTGGCCAGTCTCAGTGATGATACAGCGTGGATCTCATGTCAGGGATATTGTAGCCATTTTTTATGGAATATCCACATGGCACATACGAAGAAAAATAAAGCATGTTTTCCCAATGGGATACTTTTGGTCTTTGAATTTATGATTCTCGAGGTTGTTGGTGATATGTGCATGGCCATGTAAATCACAGCACAGTTCTGAATCAGTGATCATTTTGAGAAACTTCAATCTGTTTTGATTGTACGATCTGTGAAGCCATGACATGATGCATACAACTAGCTCAGACAGTAATAATGTGTCATCTTGATCAATTAGCAGGTAGAGTCATTACAAGTCTCTGTTCGAGCCCCTCAAAATGTGTCGCAACGAGCTAGCAAGAGTTGTATTATAAGGACGAGGGGTGTTTGGTTCAAACCTTGCTCCTGATCCTTCGTTGTTTGGGCTATGCTGCTTGCGGTTTACCTTGTCCGAGGTTAAAAGTTAAAACACTCAATTTTGCAAATTATTTTTAATCATAAAATAAAGGATGGCAACATCTCTGTATGACCCCTGACATTATTATTTTTGGAGAGGGTTCTAAAGTGAGTACGAAACTGATTCGCGTGTGATCTTGACAAGAATTTGGCTCTGCGATGCATATTTACCATAGATATATATCCATGATTTTTACTTGTAAGTGATCATACGAATTTTTTACTTGTTAATTGGAGGATTTTTTTTTTTTTATTTCACCACTTGATGTTTTGAGAAGTCACTGGTTCATTTTTTGTTTAGACGAATCTGAAATTTTGCTGTACAAGAATGTTATTATCAACAGTGGTTTTATAAGTTTGACATATTTATTTAATGCGGCTGTATATATTAGGACTTAAATTTGAAATTTTAAAATAAGTTGACATTTATTTAATGTGGTTGTATATATTAGGACTTAAACTGAAAATTTTAAAATAAGTTGATTCAACTTTATTCACTAGTTGAACAAGTGTCTCTCAATTAATTTGGAAGATCCAAATTGGTTCAATATATACATATGTGCATGTATGAAAGAATTGTTTTTATATAGATTGGTTGGATGACCAAAGTTAATTTTTAATTGATACATTTAATTCAATTTGACACTAAAAGAAAACGATAAATCTCGTCCGATTGTCTTGAAAGTCATTTTTGGGGCCAAAGTGGGACAGAATGACGCTAAGGTTAATAATATAATAAAATTTAGGAAAACAAATTAGTTATTTGATTTTCATAATTTTAATTCAATTGTAATTCAATCTTTAAACTTTAACTCGATATAATTTATTCTTTAAATTTTAATTTAATTCTTAAACATTAACTCAGTATGATTCAATTTTTATAGTTTTAACAATTTAGAATATTAATTTTTAGATTTTAAGAAATAACTTTATTCCTTATAATTTGATTTTCTAAAATATAATGTCGACATTTTAAATGGTTAAAAACTACAGAAGTTGAGATACACAGAATTAAAATTTAGGCACTAAGTTAATGGAGTCAAAACTATAATACCATGATGATGTGTTTACTAACATTTGCCCTTCATCTGGTTTTCTACATTTTAAATATCTTCCTACTTTTTGGGGGCAGCCTATTTCGAGCATTAGGCAATTAAAAAACAGTGTATTGCCAAAAAAAAAAAAAAAGTGGTCCAAGGAGCTAGGCTTACTAGACATTATGGGACAGAAGAGCAGCGACTTGTTGTGCTTATTTGGCAACCGGTTTTTAGAACAACTTTTTATTCTGAAAAACAAAAAAAGAAGAAAAAACTAGTTTGAAAATATATATTCTGTTATCTGTTTTTAAAAATGAAAAAAAATTAATAGTCGTCTGCAAAACTAAAAAACTAGAACATTTTTTAGATGTTTCGTACTTTTTATTATGCAAAACTAGAGAAAATATAGAAAATGTCATGCTTTCATTAATAATAATTATGTTAATAGAATAAATTATTGTTTCATCCTTTATTTCATCAATTTAGACATGTTTTTTAAAATAATGATTCAAATGGATTTTTTTCATTTTTGTTTCTAAAACTGGTTTCAAAAAACTATTCTACAGAATTGTCTTGATAACAAAAAGAAAAGAAAACAAGACCGTTATCCCTCCACAATGACGCCCTAAAGGTGTGTTGGCTATACTGTGAAACCAGCCCTCCCCCGCAGTGCCCTTCTGGTCTTGAAGCCGCGAGTTCCATACATTCGCTCAAATCCCATGGCCCAAATTGGAGTGGGCTAGCCAGCAAGGAAAATAGACCAAACCAGCCTCACCAGCTGGCGTTATTCAGCTCAGCGGGAGAGCATATGTGTCAGACCATTATATACAATAAGTTGGTTTGAAACTAGACCGTGTGGGACTCTTTGGATCTTTCTTGAGCTTTCTTGTAGTACAGTTTGATATATAATGACCCTCGCTAAATACATGATCTTATTCTGTCATCATCATAAATGCAAACATGAATTCGAAAGATCACAAATTCAGACGTGGAGGATGAGTAGAAATTGGTTAAGAATTACAACATCATATGTTCTAGAAAGCAATATGATGGGAAATTTGAATGTGATGAGATATGAGATCCCAACAGCAATAACCCTTATGCTCAAGGTTATAACCGAGAAAACAACAAACATGAGCACAAGCTTGCAATTTGATAGTTTCATGTGGAGGGAGAAGAACAAAATGGATACAGGTAAAAACTTTTAAAAGACTATAGTCAAGAGGAATACCATGAAGATGCTCAAAAGAAGAAATATTACTAAGAATTCGGATAGGAACTCTATCTATGCAATATACAACAGTTAAGGTGACTTGTCCCCATAAGCATTTAGGACAAGAAGAAGAAATGAGGAGAGCACGGATTAAATTAAGAATATGACAATGCTTTCATTCAGATCGACCATTTTGTTGAGAAGTGTAGAGATAGGAGTCTTATAAGATTGTACCTTGAGCATTAAGAAATTTGAACAGTTTAGAATCACGATATTCTAAGGCATTATCAAGAATAAAAATTGCTAACATTTCTATGTGCTCAATGTTTAATGCAACATTCACAGGCACTAGTTCTTGAGACTTGAGAACTTGACATCAAATTTGTAATGACCTTCATCATTAACCCTTAATTAACTCACTAATAGACAACCTACAACGAAAGGATTAACCATAGCTTTGAAGTTTTTTTTTTAAATATAAATGTCAAACTAGAAATTGGGACCCCACATATATAATTGATGAGATAAATAATATATTTCAAAAATTAGAGTGATTGAGAATATGTTAAAATTTTATAAAAATTTCCATCCCCTCCTCTCCAAAACCTCCCCCCTAAATTGGGGGGATCCTCATCTTCCTTCCCCTCCTCTCTCTTCATACCAAACAAAGCTTAAAGGATAGAATAGTCATTTTGGAAACTTGCATTAGCTTGTTGTGGCTAAAAGTTCCCTTGCTGTAACCAACTATGAATTAACACACTCAGTGCAATGCAAATCACCATGACCCACTCGCCATATCTAATAGCTCTACTCACCACAACCATAACTGTTGTTCGCCGCAGCGAATTCTACGTTAACGGCATAGTGAACAACATGTAGAAAGTAACTTCAACCTTATTTAACTAATCACTTGGATCCCTAATTAGGGAAATCCAAGAATCTAAACATAGACAAATTAAATATTTAACTACTACTACCAATTATAACTCAATCCAGTACTAAATAAGGATCCTAGAATGCTATGTGCCAATAACAGTATTCAAGTTCCTTGCATATATATAAGTGTCTCTCCTCAAATATTAATTCATAACATAGGCTTAATTGCAATAATAGATATGCACAAGAATACTATATTTAATATACCAAGTTGAATCAAGTAATAAAGGTGATCAATTATATTAATACATTTGCACAAATGCTTTTCCAACTCTTGGGCCAGAGCATCAGCAACGCCTAAGTTAACAAATAGGTCTAGTAAGTAATTGTTAAATAATCCAAACATGTAAATGAGATATAGCTAACATGTGCAAACCTCTAATGTTAGAAATAATAAGTATTCAAATATACAAACTACAAAGCTAAAAGCTTTACTAAAGAATTAAGCTTCTCTAGCCTCTGATGCTTCCCCTTTAGCCATGTACTTAGCATTTCCTCAAAAGTATTAAACAATGAGAGTGAGATTATATAATTTCAGTAACTAAGGCACATAAATTCAAGTACATAAAAGTGTAGCAAATACAAGCACATAAGGTGAAGATTTACATTTTTCATGCTATTAATATAACATCCTAAGTTTTCAAATTAGGAATTATCAATGTTTCTAAGGGTATTTTTGGTTAATTTAGATAAATTATTGATTAATGATGTTTATAGGAGACTAATATAATTTTTGGATCCTTGGACAACCTTAGAATAAGGCTAGGTCAATATTGAGCAAGCCATGGCACAAAGATAAATTC